TAATATTGGGAAAACGCAAGCAGCTGAAATTGCCAAAAATAAGGAAGATATCAGGAATAAATGGCAATCAGGAACTAATATAAATCAAAAGAAGGATTTTTTAAAAAAGGAAGGTTTTGCTATAGACAAAACATGTTTTGAGTGGTTTGTGAAAGCTAGAAGTCAGAACATTCCAATCTCAGGGCCGTTAGTGAAAATGAAAGCTAAAGAAATCGCCACTACTTTGGGCTATAATAATTTCAGTGCGTCCGACGGGTGGCTGCAAAAGTGGCGCAAGAGACATAGTGTGAGTTTCAAATGCATATCTGGCGAAGCTGCTGCAGTAGATCAAGTTGATGTGTCACAATTTTTGGAGAAACTTCCGTCCATGTTGCTTGGCTACAAACCAGAAGATGTGTACAACGCAGATGAGAGTGGACTTTTTTTTCGCGCATTGCCCGACAAAACTCTGTCCTTTAAAGGAGAAACATGTGTGGGTGGAAAGTTGTCTAAAGATAGACTAACCATTTTATTCTGTGCAAATATGGCCGGTGAAAAATGCGATTTGATTGTGATCGGGAAAGCGGCTCGTCCCCGTGCTTTAAAAAACGTTGCTATTAAGGATCTACCAGCGACTTGGAAATCCAACAAAAAGGCATGGATGACCCGAGAAATCATGTCTAAGTGGTTAGTCGAATTCGACCGGAAAATGAGAAACCAAAAAAGGCAAGTTCTTTTATTTTTAGACAATGCATGCTCTCATCCTCGTGATATGAAAATGAAAAATGTGAAAATTATATTTTTACCGCCAAACACAACTTCTGTTTGTCAGCCCATGGATCAAGGTGTCATACAGAACTTTAAATTTTATTATCGGCACTTGATTTTAAAACATATTTCAACAAAAATTGACGATGGTCAAAGCTTATCTGAGCTTACAAAGTCTATCAATGTGTTAGAAGCTTTGTATTTTATAAAAACGGCATGGAATAAAGTAAATTCCTCTACAATTAAAAACTGTTTTGGCAAAGCTGGATTCAGAAAAAGTGAATGTAGCTCAGAATTTGCTGAGCAAAATTATTGCGACGCTGAAGACGATCTGCCCTTAGCGACACTTGCTCAGTTACTGCGACATGCCAAACATTTAGGAGTAGCAGATCCCCAGAAAGTAGATAATTTCCTGGCCATAGACAATAACATAACAACAGAAGAAAATGCCATTGGCAACTTTTCGAATTTGGATGTAGAAAGCCCAGGCCAACTTGAATATGGTAGTCCAAACGACTCAGAAGAAGAAGTGGAACTGGTGGACTCACTAAGCGGTTCAAAAACGATAAATTCATATGGGGAAGCTCTAAATCATATTTCTATATTGAAAAAATTTGCTAAAGATGATTTCACTGCATTTCCACATTTGAAAAATTTAGAAAGTTATTACGAAAATTGTCTCCTTCAGCAAAAGATGGTGAAATTTCGTCAGACAAACATTTTAAACTTTTTTCAACAAGCTAAAGAATAATGTTTTTTTTTAAATTCTCGTACCATGTATCGAAGCATTTATGTTTTTGTATGCGTATATGTACATATACCTATTATATAGATATATAGCATAAATACATACTTTAAAAATGTGGCGAGTTTCTGTTTCATTTTTCTCATGATTATAATACCTCATTTCCTCATGATTATATACCCCGTTATTTGTACTCTATACTTACATACCCTCTTTTAAACGGACACCTCCCATAAGCGGACAAAAGTTACGGAACCGTGAGTGTCCACTTATGGGAGCTTTCACTGTATTTGAATTAATTTGATATTCGTAGTTTCTTTGGACGTACTGAGCTTCCTCCATAGAATCTCGTGGCACGAGAGATCGTAATATTAAGAACTTTAAGACTCAAAATGAAAGTAGATAAATTAACATTTTAGTTTAGTTAGATTACAGTTTCGGATAACCGGTTTCAGTATCCATCAAAAAATTTGGTTTGTCTCCAATATTTTGCATTTTTCAATGTTGTTAGTTATTCAATTTTGTTAACACAACTTAGATTGAGTGCTCAATGGTACAGGATGTGAAATGAAATTAATCAACTATACAGGTAAAAGCCGAATGTCAAGGTTCATACCATTTCGCTGTGACGCGTAGAAAATCTATATAATGCCAAAAAAAAGATAAAATGTAAACTTGTTGATTAAGTAGACTAGTGTGTAAATAGTTCATTCTGCGCTTGAGACAAGTGAGCATGAAATGAACGACTGCTAGTACCAAGTTGACGCCTCCTACGAAAACCTACATTATATCATAAAAAACCTACATAATGTCACTTTTCACATTACGTAATACCTCTGTCGATGTCTATAATATATAACATTTGTTAATAAAAGATTTGGTCTTATTCAGTTTAAACTGCTTTTTGCAATCCACAGAAACCTCCACCATTTTTGGCAACTGTCTGAAACGCTAATATTGTAAGGAACCCAGGCCCTCTTTATGCTTTTACAAAAGTAGGGATTTAATGTGAAATGACAACAAATTTAATGTCAAATTGGTGTCTCAAGCCTGATCGGCGCATAGTATGAACTTGCATCTTGTGTTGTTTATCACCTAAGTTTAGTGACAAACAAATTAAATACTTGATACGAAAATGAAAGAGCCAGTTTATCATGTGGTGTTGGTATCCTATGTTCTGGCATTGACATATTTATTCATATTTTTTTCTCAAAAATGCATTTCATAATTATCGTTGAAATCAACGTTATCTATTTAGCTCATCCCTTTGTCAACATTGGAGTCACTGCAAGTGGGCCTTTTTTAATCCTGTCAAGGGTCACAGTGCCATCTCAGCCGAACTGCAAAGGGAAAATCCTCTCCTACTGAGCAGGGATGATAAGTATCTCAACCGCAAGTTTAATGTGGAGTATCCAACGAGGGCGGAGTGGGAATTCGGAAGTCAAAGCGAGTGGGCAGGTCTGGAACACGGACGGCTCGGTCACTGAAGAGGGCCCTGACGCCGGAACCTTTGGGCCTAGAACTAGACTATCTCTGTCACAAGGTGGATACGTTTTCCAGGCGGAAAGCTTTGAGATTCTGCAAGACTACTTCGAGACTTATATTACAATACCAGCGAGAAATCTGCTGTCATTAGTGTGGGTACAGGGTCACGTTGGAATAAAGGGCAATGATATGGCGGACGCTCTTACGAAAGGAGGATCAGCGAGCAAGCTCGTTGGACCTGAGCAGAAGCATTTCTAAACATCTCCTTCAGGCAAGGGAGCTTATCGCAGGGCCCAGTGATAAGGATGGTCGCTATTGTTTATCTTTGGATAGAGCCAACCTAATATTTCTGGTGGGACTTTGTATGGCCATAACACTTTAAGGCGCCACCTGCATGTGATGGGGGTGGCTGGGGATCCCTTGTGTAAGCGCTGCTGGGTAGAGGAAGAGGGTGTATATTCTGTGTCGCTGTGAGACTTTGAGCTACTACAGGCGGACTATACTGGGGCCCATCACCTTGGATCCCCAGAACGTTGAGGAGCTGGGACTCAAGGCTATACTCAACTTTGCTAGAAGGGCTGGGCTTAAGGCTTAGGGAATGTAGTGGTGCATAAGTGCCCGTTTAAGTGGCTTATGCACCGCCTCCTCACGGTAGCCGGTATGCCTCTAATTTCATAATTCATTCATTCATTCATTCCTTTGTCAAAAAACAAGATAATGTCAACGGTTGGTTTGTTTAAAAATGGACTTAATGGTAGGATATAATTCTTCAGGAGTATATACTTCATAACTATGTAAATATGGCGCTGTTTTTGTTCCGCTTCTTCAAATAGAGATTTAATTCTATATACCTGAAATAGGATAGACAGACTACAACACTAGCGACAATGATTCGAGATGGTGCCAGAACTATAATTATTATAATTTGACATACTTGATCAGTATCAAACGAACCATTTACATTCATTTTCGTTCTTACTTTACTCTCCACAATAACTACTTTGAACTTCAGAAGTTTGGATGAACCTTTCAATTACATCAGTCCTAATGAAAAGATGCATTCAAGGTCCCTCGTTAAATAGCCTTTTGTGGACTAATAGGAAGATAGTCCCTTAATTAAAGGCAAAACTGAAGATAAGTGAGAAAAGTTTGTGTCGCGTCATCCAACTTGAACATTTTAATTAATGGCGTAAAAACTGTTTAATTACACAAAATTGGAACATCGAAGAAATTACGATACGGTTATCACTCCAGTATATGATAGAGACAAGGCCAGTGACGTTACAAATAAGTCTTTCAAACTTCAAACTATAGTTATGGAGATTTTGGGATTGTATCCATTCGAAAGGTGGCCAGGTTCTATTTTACTTTAACTCAATATACACAGCATTTTAACCCCCCTCCCATACTTACTTTTTGAACGGGACAAGTTAGAAAGCTGAAATTCGGGGTAATGAAAATGACATGGATTTTAGCGTAAAAGTGGCAGTTGAAAATTTCGTGATGGGGTGTGTGTTACGTCATTTTGAGGCAACTTCCTACCTCCTGTACAACAAAGCCAACTGGCTGGCTGTCAAAGTTGATCGTTTTTGTACACTGAATCGCTTATAATTCAACAACTAATCATCATCATAGTATGTTATATAAATCTATGTACGAAGTTTAGCACGGTTAGGATGAGAGGCTGAAGTCAGGCGGGTCTGTATGGTAGGCACATCGCGCGGCAGCATGAAAAGCATAGCGATAGAAAGAGCTAGATCGCCGATGCCTGCTGGTGTGAATGGGTCCTGAGACTGTCTTTTAGAGAGGAGTCATTGATCAGTCGGACAGACCTTCTCTGAACAGCATCTAGCATGGATAATGTAGTCGCGATTGCAGCAACCCAAACATGTAAGCAGTTCTCGAGGCTAGGTCTTATCTGGGTTTCTGATAAAGTGTTATAAAGTTGAATATACCGTTCCAAGAGAAGATTGATAGAAGATACAACAACCTTTTAATGATTTTCGATAACATTCTGTTGCAGCCATCTTCACTGGGGCTTTAGGCAATGCCGCAATGCACACCATGGTATCTGGCTTATTGTGTCACGCTGCAGGTCAGTTGAAGGTTCTGAAGTATACGTTAATGAATTTAGACGCAAGAGAAAATCCGGCACCGACGAAGCAATATCTAGGAGAGCTCGACGGAGATACTGGTGATGAGTATGATGCTGGTGAAGCTGTATACAGAAAAATAAGTGAATGTGTTCAACACTATGACTCCATTTTTGAGTAAGTATGTTATCACATGCTTTGCCGATATGAGGAGTGATGATTTGCATTTGAATAAAGACCCTCAACTTATTTTTGGAACTGCTCAGGCTAGCAAGCCAAAATTCGAGGTGATGAAGTTGATGCATAAATAACAGTATATTTTAATCCTAGAATGTAAATTCACAACTTTTCGAAGTCGCTTACATGGATGCCTATAATTCGTATACTACTTTTTGTGGAAAAATTTTCTATTTCATAACGAAGACTGTGAGGATGGTTTTCTCAGAAATAAATCTAAGGTGTTTGTATGAATGAAAACACTCGTCAAATAAGATGTAGACATCAGATCAATAGAATGAAACTAGACATATGAAGCTCTAATAAAAAAAGAAGTTATTTCCCTAAGACGTGGTAATAAGCCTGCTTACATACGATGATAGTGTCATGTGGATTCTTGGATTTCCTCAGATATAGGGTGGCCGATATGTAACTGACTGGTTTGTATCTTGAATATTTGTGGAATGAAATAAAATATGTCCATTTTTTCATCTTGATCTTTTAATGAAACTTAGAAATTATGTATGAAAAATAATATCAGACAAATGTCCGCCTCTAGAATCCGCGCAAACCTGAGCCCTCTTGGACTGCGTTTTCCATCACTTTTTGGTTGGTTTCGGAAGGTATATTTTCAATCGCTTCCGTAATATTGTTCTTCAGCTGCGCTACAGTATTTGGTTTGTTGTTCATAAATCCCATTTTGCAGAAATTCCCATGTTGACATCGCCAAATCGATAAACTAAACGTCCCGGAAATATTGTTCGCAAATGATCCATTGTTTCCCTAGCTGTGTGACAAGTTGCTCCGTCCTGCTGGAACCACATGTCTTATAGGTTAAATTGTTGGATTTGAGGAGCCAGACAATTTTGCACCAATCACACAAAAAAGAGTGGTCTTGGTTTAAGAACAACTATCTTCAGTTGAGGAACCGTGACTTCTACGAGCCCCTTCCCACTTCAGTTGGCCCAACTATTGAAATCTTAGTTTTTTTCTTATCAAACACAAATAATAAAAATGTAGCAGGGTGCTATAGGTTTAAAATATTAATAATGAATATTTTGATGATATATAGTAGAAAACACCAACTTTGTCACTCCCTAATCAAATTTGCAGCATAAAAATAACACATGTTCAACCTACTTTCATTTCAATGCAAAATAATTCTATAACGCATAGGTAGCTGTGAAAATAAAAGCCATGACAATTTTTTTATTAATCACAGCTGTCAGAATACGTTTAAAATAGTTTTGGGTAGTTAAGGTTTTCAAAATAGGTAGATGAAAGGTTATTAGTGAGAAAATTCGGTTACTGATAATTCAATTTTTTAATTATGGAAAATCAAACTCAGAAATTGCAACTATGTTAGACTTATCACGGTACAGTGTGAGAAGATATAACGTAACTGGTTCAGTTAATATTAAGCCACGATATGTGAAAAAACGTAATATCACAAATGCCGACCGAAGAGCATTAAGAAGAATAATCGTAAAAAACAGGCGTGCCAATTATTTACAATTAAGTGCTCTGTGAAGTGACGCTGTTGGAAGAAGAATTTCGAGGTCCACAACTCATAGAGAGGCCCACAAACTGGGATTTAGCACATGCAAGGTAAGTTATATTATAAAAAAAGTGAAGTAAAAACCCTAAAGCTGCACAACTTGTTTATAGGCCAAAGAAAAGCCACTATTAACTCCACTGCAAAAGAAAAATCGGCTTAGATGGGCTAAAGAACATAGACAATGGACACCTCAACAATGGTGTGCAATACAATGGAGTGATGAGGCCCGATTCGAAGTTTGTGTTGGTGACAGTCGCAGTAGAGTTATTCGCAAAAAAAATGAAGCATTCCATGTTGACTGTCTGAAGAGAAAAGCGAAATTTCCAGCATCCATTATGGTCTGGGGCAGTATGTCATCAAAAGGAGTAGGAAAACTTCATTTTATTGATGGAAATGTGGATACAAACAAATATTTGGCAATTTTAGAAGAATTGCTTTTACCAGTGATGGAAGAATGTTTGACATCCGGCCAAGATTTTGTGTTTCAGCAAGATGGTGCAGCGTGCCATACCTCAAAAACGGCTATAAAACGGATGGAAGAAAATAATGTACCACTTTTTAAATGGGTTTCTGGCAGTCCAGATCTATCACCTATTGAAACTTGGTGGCACGAGATGAAAAAGGTTCTACGACCACATCCCGCTCGTACAATCACCGAACTGAGACAAAAGCTTCAAGTAATATGGGATTGTTTTACTCCAAATTTTTGAGAAAACTTGGTTAACACTATGCCCCAAAGAATTTCAGCCGTAATAAAAAATAAAGGTGATGTTACCCAATGGTAATCTTTCAATTGCTGCTTTGTTAACTTCGCGCATTTATTCGCACATTGTTTATTTGCCCAGATGTTCTATTAGTTATAGGTCTAAGTGATTTCAAATATGTATTTTTTACGACTAGAGTGTATCTAAAATGTTTTTGAGAAAATAAATTGTTTTAGAAGTAAATAGTTTCGTCATGTTTAGTTTCTAAAGGCATATTTTGGTACAAATCTTGAAGTGGGTCAACTGAAGTGGGAAGGGACTCGTATATGTTTCTAAGACACATATCTTTGAATTAAGGTCAATTTCTCAATTGTAACTGCTACGTTTCTTTGAAATAACAAAATTACCTCACTTGAAGTATCCGTGGTCTCGAATCAATATCATAATTTCATAGAAACTAATACTCTTGCATCAAAAACACTATTTTTTGTGTGTATTACGCTGGCGCTCGCCAGTGACAGTAAGAGAATTACCTGCAGCGTCTTCAAAGAAGAAAGGTCCAATGTCACCTCCACACCAAACACCGCCCCAAACTGTGACTCGACGAGGATGTAGTGGTCGTTGTTAGATGACACGAGGGTTGTCTAATGCCCCCTAAAAAATCCGTTCATATCGAAGTGGGATTCATCACTCATTATCAGTTGTCGGTAAAAATCGTTATTTTGGGTATTATAAGCCGCAATATTGCATGACTGCATTGTCGGCGACTTTCATCGTCACTTGGCTGTAGTTCTTGGGTTAACTGAATTTTGTATGGCCGCAAATGCAAGTCTTTTTTTAAAATAGTGCATAGTGGCGTGGGACGAATACCCAGTTCTTGAGAACGATGTCTGGTAGACGTCTTAGGGCGCTCCACTACACTTTCACGAACTCTCTTGATATTTTCCGGAGTATGAACAGTTCGAACAGCGCCTGACCTTGTTTGTTCAAATTTCCGCACCAACTGACGAATGGTGTTGACACTGGGCACATTATTTCGACCGAAATCTTCCGAATCGTTGCAACCATCGACTCACTATTTAAGTAAAACACACATGTGCTTTAAACAACTACTACGGCGCCACCTACTGAAATGCGTGTATCAAAAATTTAAATCAGTCAGTTATATATCTAGATCTCAACCAAATTGGATTCGATCAGTCAGGCAGTTTTTGAAAACTTTTAATTGCTTTTCCCAAAACACTTGTTTTGCAATTCGTCTTCCCAAGCTCAGTCTGTAGCGACATAACTTTTTATCATTATCTTAAAATCAATTATGCACAAACAATGTGGCATTCATTTTTTAAGTTTGCTCTTATGCTTTTTCTTCCTTGCTACTTATGCATCACAAAGTTGACAACCTTGCCTCATTGCTCCATTAACTCAATAATTAAATAACACAAATTCTGCAGGCGGATCCGAGTGTCCCGCCTGAAATATGGCGATGCACTTGCAGTCTCATATTAAAGGTTTAGCAGTAATGTCGGGTTTTGTTGCCACGCAAAGCGGGTGCTTAGAGGTACCATTAATGTCGGCGGAATTGCCTTTCTGTGTGGTTGCCTGGTGTAGCCGTGAAAGAGCCTACTTTATGATGTGCCAGGGAATGTTTCATCTCAGAAAATAATGTCGCTCTAGACAAATGCTCGTTGCAATGAAGATTCGTACAACGTAAAAGGCAAAAATTTTAACACGGTCGAGTATTGCATCCGCAAATTAAAAAAAGACTATAAATTAATAAAAGAATTACCAAAGAAAATTGTAATCAGTACAAAAATAAATTTATAGAACTTGTACGAGAAACAAAACAGAGATACTATTTTCAGAAACTAAATGATAACTCACGCGACTCAAAAAGACTATGATGAATAATATTTCCAGTGGAAAACAACGAGCAGTAAATGAAATTACTCAATTGAAAACGGATACGGGTGAAGTAACAAATAAAAATCAACGAACATGCGATGAATTTGTAACTTTTCTTACAAATGTTGGAGAAAAATTAACAAATATTATAAAAAGCGATTCTAATAAACTTAAGTTACATGGAAAAATACTAGTAAACCCATTTGTTCTGACCGAATTCGATGCTCAAGAAGTTTTTAACACTATTATGTCCCTGAAAAATAAGAAAAGCCCACGATCATTCCTATCTACATAACAGGAGATAATATGGATGCATTATTCTCGACCAATATCACTCATATCGACGTTGGCTAATGTATTCGAAAAATTACTCTCTAGTAAGATGATAACTTTCCTTGACAAATTCAATATCAATACGGTTTTGTAACAGAAAACTCTACCAAAGATGGAATACTAATTCTATTGAATCACATAACCCAAAACCTTGATGAGAAAATTTATTTATTTGTGTGTTTGTCGATCTGAAAAGGGCATTCGATACAGTTAATTACAGATCACTGTTAAATATTTTAGACAAATTAGGTTTTCGTGGTAAAATATAAACTTTAAAGCAAAGTTATTTATCAAAAGGGCCCCAAGTTGTGGAACTATCAAAAGGAAATGTTTGTCAAATGTGGTATACCTCAGGGTACTGTTTTAGGCCATCTTTTATTAAATATCTATTTGAATAATATATTCAACATTAACTCTGTTGGTATAATAGTTAGTTTTGCTGATGATACAGTAATACTATATGAAGGGCAAGGCTGGTATGATGTAAAGGGAATAATTGAGAATGACTTTTATAGAATCATTCATTTTTTCAACACTAGAAAATTAACAGTGAACTTTAAAAAACGCATTTTCTACTATTCACATCATACGCAAAACCCGATTAGTCAAATATTTCCTTTAAAATAAACAATACAAATATAAAAATTGACAGAAAGGACTATATCAAATATCTACGAATTTTTTTAGTGCAACATTTAAGGTGGGACATTCACGCAGCCTACATTTTGAAGAAAATAAGATTTGTTACATACAAAATTAGGTAAATTCCTCACAGGCATTTTGACAGAAAATTATATGCGTAGTATATATCATGCCTAAATTGAGCCGCACCTAAGATATGGTATATTAGCATGGGGTACAGCATGTCCAGTGTACTTAAACGACATAGAACTGTTTTAAAAATTATGTTCGGTAAACCAAAATTATATTCAACATCTGATTTATTTAACGAAACAAAATTGTTTGACATCAAGCAACTTTATTTTTTACATACTATCAGCCATTATCACACAGTTGTCAGTAATCGCGATAAAATCACACATTGCCATGATACACGATATAAATCACGAGCAAAAACTGTCCCTAAATCTCATAATGATGCGATCTTTTCTATTTTGGCTCCAGAATTATATGAACAGATACCCAAAGACTTAAAACAATTTCGAAATACACATAATTTTTAAAAGAAATTATCAAAATGGATACGCGCAATAAGAAGACAACAATTATTGAATTCCTATCAAATATTCCTTAAAAAATATCATCCTCTACATATACACTTCTTTGATATAAGTTTTACTTTTAACCTTTTTGTTTTGATTTTGGAACGCATTAAAACATACGACTGATCCATGTACAGACATTCCTTCTATGGATTAACATATCTATTTACCCATTCTATGTTGTTATTGTTCTTAAATACTGGAGTAAATAAGTGTCTACTACTACGTTAGACAACATACCAGACGAATCTTCAAGGCGTAAAGCCTTGTGTAATTCAAAGATAGTGTCTGACTTAATTTAAAAGTTAATTATTCCGTAAAAACCATATCTAGAAGACCAGCTTTTCTTAAATTTTGTTGGGATTTAGCAGACAAAGATTTATAACCGGAGATTTAGCAAATACACAAAAGGACATGGCCATCTAAATCGCTAGATTTAAGAACTTTTCTCAACTGGGTGGTTTGGTTGACAATGTTGAATTTCTTCTATACAATTCTATGTACAGTTTCAGTCTTACATCTAGGCATGCGATGTTCAACAAATCGACAAAATCTGCTGAGGTGTTGTTCAGATTCTTACGAAAATCGATCTATTGAAGAGAGTTTGAAAGCCTGTATTGTCATAAAAAATCACCCATTGGTGCTTAGAGAGAAACTTTATCAACACTCTGCTTTGGCATTTTGTAGATAGACTTACTATAACATGTATGTCTATTTCACAGGGAGTTTTGGGGACAATTCCGTTTTTATTGTTTTTCCGTATAAATCGACTTCGCCTAGAAGAAACTTACAAACATAGTTTCCATAATTCTAACAATTTGCCTATTTTTTAGATTTGTGAACCGTGTAGAAGACACATTCTCGTTCGTCATTTTCAGCCAGTTTTTAGCAAGCACCATCGTTATATGCATATCTTGCCTGCAAATGTCGAAGGTAAATAAGATTGATTATTTATATTACTATTATATTTGCTTGAGACATATTTTCTTCATTACAAGGGTTTTTGATATTTATCCAAGTACCACAAACGTAAGATTGTAAAACGTTGATCTAATTCATATTTTTAGCAAAGTGAAAGATGGAGTATCATTTCTATAGAACTATCTTAGAGACAAGAAGACATTCCATTAACTCACACTTCTGAACATAGATGCGCTGGCTACACATGCCGCTTTTACAGATTTTTTGCTGACAACTAATTGTGTGTGTACTTAATTAGGAAAAAGTACACATATACTAAGTGTCATAAAATGCAACACCCAGAGTTGTTTATTGAATTTTGATAAAAAACTTGTAAACATATTTGCTATCACGGAAGTATACGCTGATAAAATGTTGAAGGCACTCCAAGTCCTATTTCATTTGTACAGGCTTTTTTACCATATCAGGATGCGAACAATATCAACCTTACTTAATACTCAGTGATTTTTCTGTGTTGGTTCCATTTGTTTCATTGTTGTTGCATTGCATTATCATGCCTAGGATTCGCAAACGCGCTAATTGCACTGAACTTTCCGAGTTTGAGAGAGGTCCGATAATCGGGTTACGTGACCTTTCCTCTATCGAAAATGTATGAGACATGATGGGAAGAAGGTTGCAAAATTCACCGCACCCTCCACAAACATTGAGGCTCTACGTAACCAAATCCAGATGACCTGGGACACAATACACCAACAAGACATCAGTCACCTAATCCAATCGACTCAACGATTGTGTAGCGAACAGAGGAGCTTCAAAGTATTATTAACATTAAGGTGGGATATATCAGCTACACCTATATTGCGAAATTTCAGGTTAAAATTTTAATCACTTTCAGTTTGTCAGAAGACCTAAAATTTGTAAAAGTTTGATCAAAATTACAGCACTCCTAGTCGTTGTTGCATTTTCTATGCCATTTAGTATATTAATATCCGGTCCTAATTAATTCGACTTGACTATCATAAAAATAGATCGCAAAAAAGGTTGCTGGCCAGCGGTCGATGACCCTTTGGCTATTAATTTCAGTCATAACAAAATTAAGGAAATTCATCGTATAGACTATAAAAATTACCGGTCCTAGTCCTCCTGGATCTTACGACATCCACCATTTTTCAAAAAGTCATGACGAGTCTTCTAATGCTTTGAACTAGATTTTAGACTTCATACAGGGTTTGTCCGGAAAGTAATAGGACCGAGTCGATTTAACAAAATTTATTGAGCCAATCGTTACAATTCTTTAAAAACTTTCAAAATATGCTCCTTCTGCGTCGATGCAGGCGAGGAAACAAAATAGTCCGGGGGGGCACATCTGGGCTGTAGGGTGGCTGCGGAAGCGTTGGGATGCCGGCCTTGGTCAGGTAGCTGTTTACAAGAAAGGCGTTGTGAGCCGGGGCGTTGTCGTACCTTTCATCGGCCTTTTCAGGCGAGGAAACAAAATAAAGTCCGGGGGGGGGGGCACATCTGGGCTGTAGGGTGGCTGCGGAAGCGTTGGGATGCCGGCCTTGGTCGGGTAGCTGTTCGCAAGAAAGGCGGTGTGAGCCGGGGGGTTGTCGTGGTGCAACTTCCAGTCGGCTGCGATGTCTTGTCGGACCACTGACCCTTCGTTTGAGTCTTCTGAGCACTTCCACGTAAAACTTGGTGTTGACGGTTTGTCCAGGAGGAACAAATTCTTGGTGGACGATGCCTTTGATGTCAAAAAAGACAATGAGCATCGATTTCACTTTGGATTTGCTCATTCTTCCCTTTTTGGGCGAGGAGACGCGTCATGTACCACTCGGAAGATTGCCTCTTTGTCTCGGGATCATACTCAAAGATCCACGACTCGTCACCTGTGATTACGTTATTCAAAAATTGGGGGTCATTTTCTTGGCACACTTCCACTCGCCGCAATTTATGGTCGTCAGTGAGCACTTTTGGGACCATCTTCGCTCACACCTTGCGCATGTTCAAATGCTGTGTCACAATGTCATGAATCACAGATTTTGGTAAATTTAACATCTGGGCAATTAAACGAATACTTAGTCGACGGTCTGAGTTCAAAACTTTGCGCACACGAGGCACATTATCGGTGTTTGTCGAAGTCTTCCAGCACGGTCTTTATCAGCGACCTCTTCCCGGCCCTCCAAAAAGGCCTGGTGCCTCCAAAACACACCACTTCTTGCTAAAGCAACACCTGGGTAAGCCTGCTTGATCATACCAAACGTCTCTGTCGCAGATATACCGAGTTTCACACAGAATTTAATCGCGTACCTCTGCTCTAACGAACGCTGCATTTTCGGCTTGCACCACTCACAGAAACTCGTCGCGTGAAAATGCCTGTCCTGACTCTCCAAGTGCTCGGAGACAACTGACCAGCCGCTCATTCGTTAGCCAGGAACGCCCTCTACCGAATCCAGTCAGTGCGCGCACGCTCCGAAGCACAGTCATGGCGGAAGAAAATAAGTCCTATTACTTTCTGAACAAACCCTGTACATGCATTTGACTTCAACATTCTTTGACGAAGGTAGTGTTGCATGCATAATAAGAGTAGCTGTTAAAACCTTACCTGTATATTAGGTATTAACATACTTCAACATCCATGTATCGTGCTTGGGATAGAAGCAAACATATTTCTGGTAGCCTTACTGAATTAAACTGGATGTAAACATACCTTGTATTCACTCATAAGCTAATACTTATGTCCTAATCTATGGGCTTAAGAGAAAAGCTGATCTTTAGGCGTAACATACAAGATCGACATATAAGATTTCCAAATGTGATAACTACACCAATACACACTACAGCTTTATTCCAGCATTCTTTTACAGTGTTTTTTACAGTGCTGCAGTTTGATAGAATGCTTTGAGTCCTCAATTTTAAAATATGTCCTTAAATCGATTCAAGAAAGCTGCTAAATCTCATATCTGCTTGGATGTACAGTTTAAACAGGTTGCTCTTGTCTTTATTGTTAACAACAGTTATTTTTTGTTTGTATTTGATATCTGCTATCTAACGACTCTTTTTTGCAAGGTTGGTTAAATGTAAGAGTATCCTGTTGCTAAAGTTCGCCACCATTTGCAACTCTTGTGTCACTTTTTGGAATTGTACAGTTTCAACAAAGACGATTATTCTAATTATTTTTATTACTATTATTATTATTTTTATTACTATTATTATGTTAAGTTTTTGAATATTACCAGTGATAACCAATCTGAAATGCTTCTAGCTTCTCAGTTAATGATTTTGTTTTCAGGAAAGCATGACGTCAATATCTTTCTTTAATAGTACATTATTCTGCATAGCAATGTTAAACGAGATATTTGTTTTCTGCTATTACGGAACTATTCTTTTCGAAGACGTGAGTATTTTTTAACATCTTCATATTTTAGGGACTGATTCAAGATTTGAGAATCGGTAACATGAGAACCGAGAGACAAAGTATTTTTCGAATTAATTTTTCAAATGTATGTACACTCTAGGGAATTAATTTATAGGAAGCTCAACTGCACCACAAATCTCACGCCACTTACTTTACTTTGACTTAACCAGTATATTGAGAAAGTCTAAATAATCACCTAATATGTCTGTTCAAAAATGTTACACCCTGAAAAAGTTTTTGTTCCAACGAAATTTATTTTTGGCGTGAAATCGGATGATCTATACATTATTCATGAAGTCGATTAAAAATGTTGCACCCAGAAGGTATGTATCTGGATCTCTGATTAATTTTGACGTTTACGAAGGTTAATCTCCGAATCCTTAATTTATAGTCCCGTTTGAGCTAGTTATTGATTTTCATAGGTACAGGTAGCATGTGAAAGGTCAAAGGGTCACACGCCTTTGGAACGAGGAATTTGTTACTGGTGTATCGAAGTTATAATTAGCGAGACGAATATTTTCCCTTCTCAAGCGTGTATGCTCTAATCATTCTGAACGCTCTATAACTCTATAGAATAATAATAACATTCCCAAATGTTACGAAGCATTTTTGTCACAATAAATCAATCAGTGAACAATACATCACCGAATTTAGGATTGAAAGGGTCATTTAAATGTACAAAATTCCAATATCGCGTCCATATGAAAAAACAAAGTTAGTGATGGAAGTCGAAAAAAAAATGTAGAATGGAAAATGTGACTACACCATCTTGTAGAGGAGACTAAGTAACAATGGCAACATGCAATTTATTTTGGAATCCCATCTCAAATGAGGTCAGGAAAAAATAAAAGTGATTTTGGGATAAATCTGGTATAAGAAACAAATGACAATCTGATAATTTCAAAGCCTACCTAGGAAATTCTGCTTTCTTGAATTAATTAAAATATGGAAATGCGTACGATACATCTTCGGAATAAGAATTAAAAACTATGTCCATCTGTGTAAATATCCAATATGGCGTCCATAGGAAAAACAACGTTGTTGTTAGAGGACAAGAGACGAAACGTCATATTGAAAGTCTATCTATGCCATGTAGAGGAGAAAAAGCGGAATGTCAATGTGCAAGTTATTTTGAAATCCTACTAGAAATAAAGTCAAGGAATAATTAAAACGATTGTGCGTTTTTTCCGTCTCTCCCCGGAAGTACTTTGTATTTCGAAACTTTCTAAGCGTCATTTTCTTAACTATCTACTTTCGCAGCTTTGCCCCCATTAAGCGACTTCGTATCTCAGTTCCGAGATACCAATGGTGAGGGTCAGGCATGTTCCCTGCATATGCAAAATCTTTTTCGTTTACTAAGCCCTTGGTAATTACTCAAAATAAATTTTACACAGTCACTACTCAAGGGTCAATCTGACTCTCCTATGAAGCAATATAAATTTTGAACAATTAAGAATTCTGAAATAAATTATACTGTTTAAGAAAAATTGTATATTATGCAATAAAATAACACAACTTCAATTATGTTTTGAATAGTTTGGACATAAATATTGAGCAGGTGTTGCAAACTGGTATTACTTGAAAATATCGCTTTCAAAGTTGACTGGTTGTCATAGACCCATGAGTAGTATCCAAGGGTTGAAGTTGATTATAACCCGGATATATACTAAGCAAGTAGACTAATCGTAATAGAGACAGGAAATGATTACAAAATCTGCTTGCTAACAAAGGTTCACACCCCTTTATCGCCAGCACTGCTACCATAAATCTCAGATTACAGTAAATCTCTTGCTGGTGCTTAGGTTATACTTTTAATATTTTTCATGCTCAAATATCGCTCACTAGTTCCAGCTGGCAAAAGAGCGACAAGCCAAACTGTTTTATGTTCACAAGTGCTGCGTTCAGAATTCCTCCAGCTTACAATTTTATTGCTTTTGGAAAAGTGTAGGTATTGATGTACTCTAACAAGGAAGAACCGGCACTCTATGTGGACTTTATATGGACTTATGAACCTGTAAAAATTCAAAGCTGTGCTGTAAATCACTCGAAATACATAAAAAAATAGCGTATTAATAGAAAAAATATTTCTATGAAAGACACTTCTGTTCTCTTTTTATTTATTAAACGCTGTTGAGTTGAAAAGTCACTAAAAGGATTATATTTGCATCAATTCCAAAATTTTCGGGTATCATAATGAGACACAATCTAGGTACACTATATCATAGTTACCAAATGATCATACTCATACTGACTGATGATTAAAACAATTTACATTTGTTTTTCATATTTTTCCGCACATACGCTACGTATCGACTTGCTGGTCCTGACCTACTCATAATTTTATACCCTGTATATGTAGCTGGAAATATACTGTGACAGTATGGCATAATAAATGATACCAATTTTCTACTTTCCTCAAAAACAAAAATCCTTCGACTAGAACATTTTCAGATAAGCGATCTGCTCGCCTTCCTAGTTCTGTAATTTACTTTCCTGGAACTGTATATAGAAATAGTTCCAATTCAACCGCAGCGAAAACGTTTTTCTCTTCCACAAGGAGAATAGAGCTGATAATAAAGAACGTAAATCTTACTTCCGATTTCCGTTCATTTAATTTCGCTACGATAGAAAAGAGAATGGCAATATATAAAAATTGAGACAAGTAAATTGATTTCATTGGGAGGATTAAAAACATGAAAAAACGAAATTAGCAAATATGAAATATAACTACTAAAGAATAAGGTACAATAACAATTACAAGCTGGGACACACTGTATAGAAGGATTTTACAACGAAATTATATTCTTAAGGGCAAATGCAAATATTTTTTCGTATTTAAACACAAAACATTTTGCGGGTAATGTTTTTATTAAGCGTATTAGTCTGAGTGCTTTACGGTCAACAAATTTAGGGGCAGTTATCAATTTTCATAAAATGTTGAGCGTTTTTGATGATTTTTTCTGGGTGAAAAGGATTAATGTTTTGCAGCTGGTTCATATTTTGTATTTTTTGATAAAAAAATTAACTTGGTAGCTGAGATAAAAAATTTACTGATTTGGAGCTGTTTTACACACAAGAGAATTACTCCGAAAATTATGGTAATAATTATGCCGAAAATTTTTTCTGTCGTATTACACGTAAAAGAATTCTATAGAATATGCGCGAGAATCGGCGCAGAACATTGTTTCCGTGCATGTCAATATCAAATGCTAACATCAACAACATAACCTCACTTAATATTTGTGGGTGTGGTCCTGTTCGAGTCGTACGAAGAAGCGTTTATTGTTATTGTTTATTCATAAATTCATAATGTCGTGGAATCGGGAAGAAGTTACACTGTTGTTGGAGGAGTACCAAAAATGGCCAAACCTGTACAAGGTGAAGTTACCCAATTACAAAAACAGAAATTTGCAGCGTCAGGCGTTGGATACGATAGTCTAAACATTGAGAAGTTTTATGATATTAAAAAACATCTCGATTTCAAAAATAAATTTAAATCAACGACGTCTGTTGTCTTTCCGATTATATTGGACGTCATACCCGTTAAGGTTATGTCCATTCGAAAATATTACTCTAATGCGCAGGCGTATCATATGAATTACTCCGAAATTTTGTTTGCTTGTGTCATACAGGTTGTAGAGAAAATCTACTATATTTTTTCCATGCAAATTTTCGGCATAATTATGACCATAATTTTCGGAGTAATTCTCTTGTGTGTAAAACGGCTCTTTACGAGTCGAACATGATGTAGTATTTTCATATTTTCCTTTACATTAATTCTACCTACTACGAGTATATCGTTTTTTCAATATATGTCATAAAGCTTTATTTTTTCAACTTCGATGGTATAATAAGAAAGTTAGCTAGCAATATTTTCTTATTCCTAGATGAAGAGAACTTCCACTTACTTTCAGAAATACATTTTTGTTGCAAGAATCTTCAATACATTTTTAAAAAATTCAGATATCATGGCATAAAGAGATAAAACATTCCAATCTGTTGCCTCATATTTGGAGGTAAGATCACCATCACCAGCTCTCAGGCTACACAATTTGATATCATGATATCATGACAAGGAAATACCCTTTTATTCCGAGCCTCCAAGGCAATGGTCTCATAAAATAAAATTAATGGTAGCTCAACTGTGAAGGCAAAGCTAAGTTAGCAAAAGGACATTTTTGGAATTATCCGATTCTGATAATTTATAGGGTCATAAAAATTTCGAGCAACGCGGATATAATTAACATTTTTTATAATATTTTAGTGGTCTTCTATGTTTTTTGCAGAATTTTGCAGACGAAATTCTCTTAATGGGATACATTTTATCAAATTATCAAAGAGTTTAATGATTTCAATTAAAAATGCTAATATGATATTTGGGATGCAAGCGTCATTTGCCGCCATTTTGTTGAACGCGTTAGATCGCAAATCTTGAAAATTATCATTCGCAAAAAACTAAGTTCTCGACCTAAAGCTGATTTGCTGATATTTATTCTAGGAAAAACTATGTATCAATGTTTAGAGAAGTATGCTCCAGAAGTTAACAGCTTTCTTTTTTCAGAGTATTACGGTTTTACACTCCATTTACATGAGCAACTGGTATACCTATGATCAGAAATCCAAAAAAGCGTTGCTTATTCTCATGGAAAGAACAAAGAGACCGATTCTCGTGAAAGCCGGTAACATGCTACACCTGTCATTGGATACATTCAGTATGGTATGTCATATAAATTATCATGAAATAATAATTACTTTGATGGTGATGATGAATTCTAGTTAAATAATATGTACGAAAAATTAGTAGCTTACTCAAATGTATCTAGCTACATTTGATAACCTAGCAGCTGATAGCTTGATGAATCTCATATCGTGTCTAGCAGTAAAAGCCTGTGCCTCCTTCCTAACTGAAGATTCAATGGAGCTCTCATAGGAAATTGCGTTATGCTTTAGTAGACTTATAAGGAAGTGGATTCCTTATAAGTCTATCCTATCAG